ATGTGAATGTTCAAAACAGCACCTACCACATTAGTCAAAATGTAGACATAACCCCAAAGCCCATCAACTGGTGAATGGATAAACAAATTGTAGTATTAATCTATCCATTCATGGAATACTATTCAGCAATAAAATCAGTTCTGACACATTTAACAACATGGGTGAACCCCCAAAACATCATGCTAAGTGAAAGACACCAGAAATCTCCAGAAAAGGCTCATCTAAAAAGGCAGGAAACAGATCAGTGGTTTCCTAGGGCTGGGGTGGGAGCAAGGATTGATTGCTAACAGGGACAAATGAGTTTTTTGGGGTGATGGAAATGCTGCTAAACTAGAGTGTGGTGGTAGTTGTGTAACACTAACAATTTGCTAAAAAAAAAAAAATCATTGACTTGCATCCTTATATGCGGTGAACTTTATGGTCTGTACATTATACCTCAGTGAGCCAGTTTGAAAAACACACTTTAGTCGGTTTCTGGGCTCCTGCGGCAACTCGTAGTGAAGGCTTTGAGAGCACCCACATGGGCCAGACATTGTTCTTAGTGCTAAACATTATCAAACTACCCTTTCTTCCACCAGCCTGATGGGTAGGTTGCATTATCCCTATTTCTCAGAAGAGGAAAGAGCACAGAGATGTTAGGTAACTTGCCCAAGGTCAGAAACACAGTGGCAAGCAGAGCTAAGATGTGAACCCAGGCAGTCAGCTGCTAGGGTTCAGTGCTTAATCATTACCTGCCTAGTCTCTCTGGGTACAGGAATGGCTGGGTAAACAAAAGCTATTTATTTCTCAAGAGTAAACATTCCTCAAGCTAGTACCAACCTTCTTCCCTTTTCAATTTCTCCCTCTTTCCTTGCAATCTGTCACCTCTACCATTTCTCCCACCCTTGGACTATCCAGATTCATAACAACATCTACAACACTTGCATCTACAACACTCCAATCCTTGCATCTACAACACTCCATAGTGGGCTTATTTTGGGCTCTGATGAATACACATCCTAGGACCTTCAGCTGATTCCACAGCCATTCTTGGAGTTAACTCTTTTTTTACCCTCCATCTCTCCAGAATGCTTTTCCCATGAATCACATAGCTCTTTACAAATTAACATGGCTGTGACCATCCTATACATTTACAGTGTCTTTACAGGAAATAGAAAATAGAACTCAAGAGCATATGTATGGTTTTAATAAATTAATCTGAAATTGCCATTCCTTCAAAAAAGTCCTGCTATACTCTCTGACCTGAGGCTAATACAAAAGACTTTCCCAAGGAATGCATAACGAAAACCTTAACAAGCCCAGACATACTCAAGATAGGGAACAATGGTGCTTGATCTTAGATTACAAAGAATTTCCCCCTGCTAGAGACAGCATCTCTCTGAGAAAGCTGATTTAAAAGAGCATGCACTCTGAATCAACATTTTTAATACAGTAAAGGAAGCGGGGACATTAAGAGAAAAGAGCAAGTGGTTTTCCTAGATCCAGGAGTCTTTCTCATTGGGTGCCTGCACACAGGGAGGGCTGGGTATGAGGTGGGTTTCCTGCTGGCAACTGCTCAACTGCACACTGAAGCCCGGAGTGCCCTCGATTGCTGTCTGTTGGCTCCCTCTGGTTCCCACTGCCTTGGCTGAGCGTGACGGACAACCCTGAAAGGTTTCTGGAGTAAAAGCTTCTGTGTTCTCCTTGCAGATCACATGGAGAACTCTGAAGGCAGATATCAGCCTAATTAGGGCTGCAGGGCTCCTACCATCCAAGGGATGGGAAGGGCCTCCTAGGAGCTGCAGGCTTTCTTGTTCATACCAGGAAAACTTCCTCTCCATCCTCGCTGCCCTTTGAAGATACTCGTCTAGTTGCAAAAAATAATGAATACTCCAACCTATAAAACACTGGGGTCTGGAGCTAAAAGAGGTAGAAGACTCAATCTGTGAACCAATGGGATCTTGGCTTCCTATCTTCCTTCTGGCATCAGGGGAACATTCTGGGTTTAACAGAATCTCTGAGATAAACTCAAAATAGGCCCCCTTTATTGCTCATTTAGGAGCATTTGGAGAATGTTTAATAAAAAAATGCCCCTAAAACAAGATTCCTGGAATGATTTTTCTAAGCACCAATCTGATAGTTCCACTGCCCCTTAGTCTGCAACAAAGCCTTTCTTTAGCTTCCTATTATCCCAGAATCAAACTGGAATTCTTCAGCCGAGCCTCAGCATCTTTTCATATTCTGCAATCTCCTCCTCCAGCCTGGTCTCTTACCTCATCCCTCTCTTCAGTCAAGTGCCTATCATTCCCCATGACATTTTCCCCACATCTCCAGGCCTTTATATCTGGACTTGTCCAGCCTTCCATCTGTGCTACCAGTTTGCCTTCAGGACTCACCTCCTGCAAGATGCCTTTGGATACACTCTACCATTTCTCCCCCATCTTCCCTCTGCAGGCTGGGCCATATGATCCCAAAGCATCCTGTTACTTCACTATTACCAGGGTGAACCTACAGCAGTGGCAGTTACTGCCTGTGGACTTGGCTGCCTTCTCCATGAAACTTGCAGCTACTTGAGGGCAGGGATGGGGACTTGGAGATATTCTCCTCCCCAACTGACTGCACAGCCCATGGCATGCTCCAGCTGACAAATATTCAGAGTAGAGGAATGAATCAACAACAGCAGGCAAAAAAGAAACCTCTGGATTTCTGTGAACTGCAGATCTCTGCAGAAAGGCCTATATGGTGGGGGTGGGGGGTGTGCAGTTTTATTAGCATGCTTTCCAGCAAACAATTTTGGTAACATATATTACACAAATCATAAAGTCCAGGATGAGCTTCCTGGTTCCTGACACACAGGAATAAAAAGCACACCCTCCCTCCCTTCCTCCTTCCTTCCTTGTTTCTGTCACCTGGAAGTTACTGTGCACCGACCATGTGTCCAGCAGGTTACTAGGGATACAGAGGTGAAGCCAGGTGGAGCCTCTGCATTATGGAGCATTTAGCAAGGTCTATTTGGGGAACAGGACCTTCCTGTTTGAAAGGAAACCCAGCAAGACTTGCAGAGGACCTGATAACTTTTAAAGACCAGCTGGGATTCCTGAGCCTCAGGGGAGAAATAAAAGCCTTCAAATAAACCTGATCAAGAGTCATTTATGCCTGGTGGTTGGGTAACTATTTTCCCTAACAGGAAGTGGAGACAGGCAAAGAGGGTTTCAGCAGAAGCTGCAGGGATCCTAGTATGATCTCAAGAGAGCCGCCGAGATGGTGGCAAGAGCTGTGATGTCTTAAGACCTACAATTGAAGGAGGCCCTGCAACTCTTCCCTGCAGCTGCAGGAAGGGTGAGCAGCCCTTGATGACGTAAGAAGATGGGAAGCAAAGCTCTGGACACCTTCTGTCTCCTGAGGTCCTGGTAAGCACTGTTGGTGCAGACTTGGCCTCATATCAAACCAGTATCAATTCTTGATTCCACAATCTGTGAGCCTGTAACTGTGAGTCTTGGTTTCCACCACCCAGATAATGGGGTTACTACTACCACCTCCTGGAATTACTGTGAGAATTAAATGATATATTATGATGTGTCAGGCACACGCTGGCACAAAATCTGTATGGATGTGGTTGCTAGAGTTGTGATGATACTATCATTCTGGTGTCATATAAAGGCTGAATGAGATAAAGATTCAAATGGTTTCTCGTGAAACCAGATAATTATATTAAAAAGTAGTGTATTACAATACAATATAGCATAATGTATTAAATAATCAACAGTACCAATTTGCATTTATTGAGCACTATGTATGTGCCAGGCTTTGTTCTAAGCACTTTGTACGTATTAGCTCATTCGATCCTCATATCAGCCCTATGAAGTAGGTCCTATTAGCATTATCCTTATTTTACAGACAAGGAAAGTAAGGCATAGAGAGGCCAAGTAACATGCCCAAGTCATATAAATAGAAACACATGGTGCCAGGAGTAAAACCCACATGGCCAGGCTGCAGAGCATGCCCTCTTGCTGCTAACAAAAGCTCAGCATATCAGACACACCGCCCCAAAGGGTATGACCAAGGCTCCCAGCTCCAACGGCAGCACCCAGGGCTGCTGGCTGTTCGCCACAGTTTCAGTCTCCTCAAACCACCAACTCTTCCTTTGAAGCCCACCTTGGGCCTACTTAGATTTTCAATACACCATTTCTATTTTCAGCTTGCACCATCCTCATCCCCTATTGTGTAAAGATCCCTTGATTGCCTTAAAAAATGCTTTATCCTTTAAGAAGAGCACCTTATTTCTGGAATCTAGTCAAAGAGTTCATATTCTCCTACCCACAGGGGTTCTGAGTCTGTCTATTTCTAGCTCTGTGTTGCTTTTGAAGTCCAAGGAATTAAAATGCTATAAAATGACAGCAACAGGCTCCTGGTCTTTACTTCAAGGAGCACATGCTGCAGTTTCCCAACTTTGTTGGGGAAGGTGGGACTCTTGGCACCCTCCTTGGCTTTGTCCTGCTTTTTACTGCTTTTTATCTGTTTTATATACTTATAAGGTTTCATTTGACAAAGGGTCCTGCTTTCCTCTAAAAAGTCCTTACATTTAGAATTGCTGAACATGTTTTATTAAAATAATGCTTAGAAACAGCTGGTTTCAATTCTTGCCTTTCTTAAGGTGACAAATGAAGATGGGGCAGGACCAGAAAGCTGTCTGACCCCTCCCGTCCCAAGTCTTCCTAATGGGTCTCAGAACCCACTCAGGGCACAGACTCTGAGGGTCAGGGGCATCTTCACAGTAATCATCCCATCTCTCTTGTAAGTTTCCATTTCACCTTACATGTCATCAAGAACATACCTACTCCAAGGGAATACTGGTTCTCTTGGGTGACCATGACAGTGCTACTATTATCCAGCTCCTAGAGTCTCCCAAAGCAGGAAAATAGCCACAGAAACACAGTGAGCTATTAAGTGTTCTTGAGAGCCCTATGGGGTCACAGGAAGCAGTACACAGCAAAGACAGACTGACTTCTGATAAGCCTTACCTGTTTTTCAATGAAAGCATTGATTCTCTGTAGCATCCCCTCGCATGTAAATTCATATGGCATGTATGGCTCAATCTGTGGAAACAGAACATGATGCCATGAAGGAGAAGGATAGAGAACATGTAGCACCTCCCCAGTCCTCTGACTCACTCAATATACGGGTGCTAACACCAGGAGGCGGCCTCATGAGGGTTGACTGTGGACTTGCAAGTCGTGATCTCACGCTAATCCTTACTAGGTGTGGGACTCTGAGCAAACGACTTGCCATCTCTAAGTCTCAGGTTCCTCATATGTAAAAGGGTAATATGAAAAACTCACCTCTTTTAAGCTGCAGGGATTATCTGGGAGAAAAAGGGTGCTTAGTTTAGTGACTAGCACCTAGTGGGCATTCAACAAAAGATGGAAGTTATCACTTGCTAGCAGGTAAGTTCCACAGGGCAGAGTCCATGCTGTTGGGTCATCTTTACATTCTAGTGGTGAGCATAGTGTGGCACATGTAGGAAATTAGCAAACATCTGTTGAATGAATGCATGGTCACTGCTCTAAGGCAACAATGAGCAGGTGAAGGATCTATGACAGTGACAAAAGCATTGGTCTGTATTTGTAGGTGAGGTTAGCCTGTACCCAAAGAGCTCAGGGTGCAAAAATAAAGTGATAAAGTGTCACAAGGAGTTCAGCTAGGGGGTCCTGGGAGGCTAGAGGGTCAAAGCAGACTTCTACTCATGCTGGGCTTTTAAGGCAGGCTGTGAGTCTAGTAAGCCCAAACTGGGGAGGGCCAAGATGCTGAAGACATCCTTGGTGAACAAGTAGTGTGGTCTCTAACATGAAAGGACAGCAGGTAACTGCAGCTCAGTATTATGGTAACTGGTGAGACGAGGTGGAAAATTCACTGAATTTCCAGAAAAGCCTTGAGATTTCTATACTAAAGAGCCTCAATTTAATTTGAGGGGAGTAGGAAACTCTAGAGGATGCTTCATTAGGGTAGAGGAGGCAGTCTTATCAATATTGTGACACCTTAGAGAGGGGGAAGAAATGTGGGTTTGATCTCTGCTGCACAGTGTCTGCCAACACTATGAGGCCTGTGTTTTCAGGAGTATTACCAACTTAAAATGGAAATTTCATTTGGGAGAAAATCACCAGCAATATAGTCTATTATTGCTTCAGGGAGCTCAACAGCTCCTCTCAGCAATAGCGTAGACTGGGGTGGTGGGGCAGGGGTCGCACCTTCACTAGCTACCTCTAAAGTCTTTGCTGGAATCTACAGGGTGGAGAACTAGGCAGAACATCTATAGTTGAAGTTTGCTGAAAATGGGACAATGAACAGAAATAACATTCCTTAGTGGCAGCCAAGGAGTTGGTCTCAGGGTATTGTCTCCCCCTTTCTTGTGTGCCAAATCACACATTACATCGAAATCTTCAACAGTGATTTTCAGAAATTTTAATTGTCTTCAAATGCTGAACGAATGCACAAATGTGGGCCACAGTGGCCTACAGCTGTCTGAATAGAGCTAAAAGAGGCTGAGCCGTAAATACTGTAATATCATGCAGACTATTCTACAAGAAAAAAGAGGTCACTCTATTCCTAAACAGCTCATCTCTGAAGATCTCAAAATACTCAGAAGAATTGACTTTCAAGTTCTCAGTTTGTTCCTTGTCAACTCAAGCTTTTGAACTTACTGTTCCTTCTCTAACCCAGACTCAAGCTTTTGAACTTACTGTTCCTTCTCTAACCCAGACACAGCCCTTCACACAAAATGCAATTTTTTTTCTTTTCTTTTAAAAGATGTTTAGTCAACCCAAGGGTGACTCCAGAAGCTTTCTATTGCTGGCCTAGAGATAAGTTTCCTCTCAAAGATTCATAGAAGGAACGATCTAAAACAAAGAACATGGTATATCTGGGTTCATTTATCAGTGTTAAAGTAGGATTTGTATAGTGAAATAAACATCTATGGTCATCTTTCATGAGATGAACAGATTTAGTTATGTTAGGAAGCATGCCGAGTACCCAAGTGCCATTCCAACAATATTTCCAAAGGGAATCCATTAGAAAATGAAAGAAAGTTAATTCAAAGTGTTCAAAGCCAAAAACACAGAAAAATGGCTCTTCCTCTGTTCTCCTACCAACCCAGCCCACTTTAACCAAAGGGATGTTGACTCATTCATTGCTTTGGGGCCGTTCACTGTTTTAAAGGATATGAAGCAAACAATTTTCCTATACAAGAAAAGCAAAAGGGAGGGAGAGATGGAGGGATGGAGGGATAGAGTGATAGAGGGATGGAGAAATGGAGGGATGGAGAAATGGAGGGATGGAGGGATGGAGGGATGGAGGGATGGACGGACGAAAGGAAGTCGGTGAGTCAGAAGGTAGGTCTATATTGCTAGACCCTGTGGGGGAGGGCAGGCAGGGGCTTCTGCATTGGAAAGCTCTTCAGAGTCCTAGCAAGCCTCTGAAGTGAGACCTGTTATGTGAATTGGGGGCTGGAAGAGTGGGCAGTTTTCTGCATAAAAGTTGTTTAGGAACAAGTGAAGGCCTCTTTGGGGGACAGAATGAAGGAGAATGCTAAATCACATCCAGTCATTGAGAAACCCAAGCTAGGCCAGTTGTGGAGAAGCAAGGAAGTATTCTTGGGCATCCTGCTTTGTTAAAAAACAAAACAAAACAAAAAAGGACTGTTAATCATATGGCGAGGGCCACAGGAAGGATGCCTGCAGATTGCACTGTGAAGTTTCTGCTGACCTTGGAAACATTCCCTTATCTTCCCCTCCATTTTCTCTTCTTGACCTCCCTTCTTGTGTGATTTCCTGTCTCCACTAGTACCGACTCACCTTTCCAAGTCAGGGATAACTTCTACAGGCAACTGCTTTCAAAGATGAGCCTCCATGAGAAGCCCTCTATGGTCTGACCTGACAGATGTGGCTTGGCATCATTCAATACGAAATGGTCTTAGAAAGTACCAGGAGGCCAGGGTTTGACTCATGGCTCCTCCGCTTACTAACCATAGGATTTTGAGTAAGCAGAATCTGTAATTTCTCTTCACGATTTCCAATGTACACTAGGTCATCTCATCACCCTGTTCAAAACTTCCCATCACACTTATAAAAAAATCCTGAACACTTAAACAAACAAACAACAAAAAAACCAACCACACCCACAAAAAAAAAACCAAACCCAAAAAAGAGAAAAAAAAAAAAACCTGAACGTTTACCATGGCCTTTTGAAAGGCCCCACACATATTCCGGTTCCTGAGGACCCTTTTACGGTCTCCATTATTTCTGATGAGAAGTTGGCTGTGTTAATACCATTATTCCTCTAAATGTAATATATTTTTCTCTGGCTGCTTTCAAGGTTTTCTTCCTTATCTTTGCTTTTCAGCAGTTTGATTATAATGTATCTTAGTGTGTTTTTCTTTTCTGCTTCTACCACAGCTTTTAAATGACTCTCCTCAAGAGTATAAGCATTAACTAAGTGTTGTGGATTGAATTGTGCCCCTTTAAAAGATATGCTGTTCTAACCCCCAGCACCCATGAATGTGATCTTATTTGGAAATAGGGTCTTTGCAGATGTAACCAAGTTAGATGAGGTCACACTGAATGAGGGTGGGCCCTAATCTTGTATAAAAGGAAAAGACAGAGACACACACAGGGAGAAGCCATAGGATAATGGAGGCAGAGATCAAACTTTTGACGCTGCAAGATAAGAAATGCCTAGGCCTACTAGAAGTTGAAAGAGGCAAGGGAGGATATCCAGCTGGAGACTTTGTGGGCGGGACGTGACCCTGCTGACATTTTTGACTTCAGACTTCTTGCTTCCAGAACAGAGAGAATAAATTTCTGCTGTTTTAAGCCACTCAGTTGCTTGCACTACTGTGTTACGGCAGCCTCAGGAAGCTTATATGCTAAGGGACTGGGAGAATCAAGAAAGAAGAACCTTCGCCCTTCCATAGGAATGACTCCGGTGGTGAAGCTTTAGGTGTGTGGCAGATATTTTGAGGCAGCCTATAGGAACCACACTCTATTTGGCGCTTCTTTCATCAGCTTGGTCTCCTGAGGTCGGGGACTTCTACCCAAACTGCTGAGACTGGGATTGGGAATGTATGTATCATCAATGGGAAGCTGACACCAAACAGACCACCTTGAAGCAGGCAGAGCACAGATAATGCATCAGAGTGCCCTCCCTCCTCTGGAGATGTTCTGAATTAACTGAAATCAGCAGTTCAGTGGGCCACAAACTGATTATCCTGTTCTGTTTCCCAGAGGGGTAAGATGGCCTCCACATGGGCACACTGACTATCCCTCCCAGGACATATGCCTTTTCAGCCTTTTCCCTTTCAGTCACACTGCGCTTTGAACCCATGCCCTTCTGCGTCCACTTCTCAGTTTTACTTTGCAAATTACTCCTCATCCTGTAAGACTTAACTAAAAGGCTGCATTCTCCAGAAAGGCTTCCCCAACTTCCACTCCTGGAGTGTTTGCATGTTGCTTTGGCACTGAACATATTCAGCCTTGTATTATGCTTACTCGCAGACATCTATTCCTCTCTCCCATCTATCCATTGGGTAAATCCCTGTGTGGGCACTGGTAATACAGAAATGAGACAGATGTATATCCTGACTTCATGTTGCTAATGGTGTAGTAGAAATTTAGACTATTGACAAAAATCATAATACTTAATACTGACTAAACACTATATAGTAGACATTGAACTTAAGCACTTTATATACATTATCTCATTTACTCCTCACAAGTAACCAATCAAATGGTAATGTTGGCCCTATGTTACACATGAAAGGAAGCTGCTAGTAAGTGGTAGAGCTAGAACTGAACCCACACTGTAAGTCCAGCTTGCCCTCCCACATGCCTACACTGGCTTCTCTTAAAGCATCGTAACCAAGTGTAAAAAGTGCTCCCATCAAAGTATAGCAGCAGAGTGCAGCTGTGAGAGTCCACGGCGGATTCAGATTGGGAGAAAGGATAACTGAACTCTTCTTTACTGGATGGTAAACTTCTGATAGGTGGGAAGCCAGCCCTCCTCTGTGTTTGTGGAAGTAAACACCCCGCCCCCTCCACAACTCCAGGTGACTCAGAGAGCACTCTGTGTATGGCAGGCACCTGACAAATGTCTGCTGAATTGATCAGAAGAGGCCAGAAATGTAGTTACTTTTACAAAATTCTACTACATGTTTAGGTAGAAAAAACAAAACAAAACAGATGTTCTATAAAAACATTCCCCAGTATTTCCTTGCACTTCTCTCTCTTTTGTAGAGGAAGCAGGGCTATCTTTTCAGATCTTTGTGAGAGCAACATAATCAGATCACTGAACCAAGTATGACTCCAGATCCTGCTCCTGTGCCTGGGATCCAGGCACACATCAGGATACCAGCTCTGTTTCCAATTCACAGAACATTCATGAAATCCCCAGGCCAAATCCTATAGCTTGGTTATTTTCTAATTCTAGGGTTAAGCTGATGTGGTAAAGATCTGTTCATTAAAACCAAGGACCTATGATGCTTTATACACATTTCAGGTCACATTAGAAATGAGGGAAAGTGGAATAAAAGAAACCAACCTTCTGATTTAAAATTGCTTTCACTGCATCCTCTACTTCCTCCTGATTGTTGAGGTCAACAGTCCACACATGTGGCCGCCCGATGAAAACTTCAGCGTAAGGATGCTGGGATGTCAGCTGGAAAAGAAGCAAACACCTCAGTCTCACAAGCGATTTTTAAAATAACTTTCTGTGCTAGACGGTGTGCTACGCTTTTTACGGTACTGAGTTATAGTTGTGTAGGTAACAAGACATTGTATCCTTCCCTTTGATGATCAAAACCATCCATAAGCAGATAACAATAAAACAGTGATGGTTCTGTATCTTGAATCCCACTTGGAAATAAGATAATGTCACAACCAGGTGACAAGGAAGCTGCTGCAGGTGGCTTTAACCCCCAACATCACACCAAGAAATGATGAACAATTTCTTCTACCCCAGAACCCAGCCCTGAAAAATCACCTATTAATAGATCAAACCAGTATCTATTATCCTGGCTAAGACAGACAGGTCAGCATAGACAATTACAAGAAAAATCAAGGCTGTAAAGTCCCAGGAGGCTAAGTCATGGTGCATAGAAAAGGTGACAGAAAAAAATGATACCATCAGAAATACATAGAATTTCTAGAATGGTTTCAGGAATAATCATTAGCATAATATTCAGAAAAACAAGGAATGTCAGTTTTTGTCCTAAAGGAGGTTTTATTTGAAAAACAATGTGTGGTCAAAAAAACCAAGTGTGAACCGTGACAATTCTTTAATTCATGAAGTGTCCATTCTTCTTTTTTTCCTCCCCCCACAAAGGGTCTTGCTCTGTTGCGCAGTCATAGTTCATTGAAGCCTCAAACTCCTGGGCTCAAGAGATCATCTTGCCTCAGCACTCTGAGTAGTCAGGACTACGGATGCGCACATCATGCCTGGCTAATTAAAAACAATATTTTTTTTTGTATACACAGGGTCTCTGTATGTTGCCCAGGTGGGTGTCAAACTCCTGGCCTCAAATAATTCTCCTGTGTCAGCCTCCCAAATTGCCGGGATTACAGGCAGAAGCCACTGTGCTTAATTGAGTCCATTCTTTAATACAGCTAAATTTATCCCCTGATTTTGTTTCCATCTCTATCCTCATATCCCTTTAAGGTTATGTTGTAAAGGGAGCATTTTAGACACATGTGAGAGCATTTTTAGCTACCATAATAACTGGAGAGTGTTACCTTAGTCTGTGGGTGGGAACTAGGGATAGAAGCTGCTTCACAATGTGCAAGGACAATCCTGCACAGGAAGAACTGTCCACTGCCCATGAAACTTTCAAATGCCCTGCAGGGCTTTCACATGGGCTTACAGAGTCTAGCTTTTTATTTTTCTTGGAACAGAGTCTTGCTCTGTACCCCAGCTAGAATGCAGTAGTACGATCTCGGCTCACTGCAACCTCTGCCTCCTGGGTTCAAGCGATTCTCCTGCTTCAGCCTCCTGAGTAGGTGGAACTACAGGTGTGAACCACCACACCCGGCTAAGTTTTTGTATTTTTAGTAGAGATGGGGTTTCACCATGTTGGCCAGGCTGGTCTTGAACTCCTGGCCTCAAGTGATCCGCCTGTCTCAGCACCCCCAACTGCTAGGATTATAGGCAGGAACCACCATGCCCAGCCAGAATCTAACTTTTTGACAGTTCAAACATACAGTGAATTATCCACAGACATAATCACATAATCATGTAAATGAAGCAATGTCTCTGCTGTGTTTTATCTGAAACGTCACCAATGAGCTGTCACCATTTCAGAAAGATCAAAGCAGCAAAGTCAATGCCACTGAGGATGTCAGAGTCTTCAGTGAAACCTACCCACATTAGTCTATATTTGGAGCTATCACATTACTGGCAGTTCTGTTTATATGTGGGTATATGTAAACACACTCAGGCTTCGCTCCTCCTTCACAATGTCAATTGTAAGTAAAAAGGCTGACCATATTCAGCGGAATGTTTCACTCCTTTTAAATGAAAACACTCACTGTGAGGAGGAACAAGGCATCATAGTGCCTGGTATAGCTCTTGGGTATGGGACAGTATAGTTCTTGACTCCATAATGCTGAAATATGTATTGCTTTATTAGGAATTATTTTCCTTTTATTTCTCCTTTACATTTGAGTTAGAGAATTATTCTCTTTTGAAATTACACACATAGGCAAGGTTATATAATTTACAAATTTCATCTCATATTTATAATAGGAAATACTGGGTCTGGCAATGCTGACGCCTTTGCTTTGGAGGTCAAGCTGGCCCTCCTCTTTTCCTCAGACTCCAGGATACTCAGAGGGCTGGAGGAAATAACTGGCATCCCTCCACCTTTCCCTTAGCCACTGTTCTTTGTATCCTACCACACAAGAGCATGCATGTACTATTCAAGGCAGGAAGCCCGACAAGTCCCTGGCCCAGCAGTGAGCCTCTGCTGGCTACAGGTTATCTGGGCCTCTACCCAGCAGCAGCCTGTCATCAGTCTCTTCAGTTTCCAGCCCTCCTGACAGGTGCCCTCTTCCTCGGCTCAGCTCTATGGTCAGTGATGAAAGCCACAGACTCTCTGCAGGCCCATGGAGCTCAGGAAACTTCCATTTTTTTTCCTCTGCACATGTTTTGGATTCAACACTTATCAAGGAAGCCCTAGGCTGGGCCAGGAGTCCTGCTAATCGCCTGCACAAATGTTATTTCTCAGGTTTATTTATGTATCAATGACGATTCTGAGACTGAGAGGCGATTACATTTCCCCCAAGACCACACAGCTGTAAAGGAGAAGAGCCAACTTCAAATCCAGGTCCTTCAACAACTTCTTAGCTTTGGATAAAAAGGAAGGTGACAATTTTAAAGGATGTCTTTGGGTTCTTAAGACAAAAGCCCAATGTAAACACCAGCTTTTTAATCCAGTTCTTAAAACTTGCCAACCTAAATTCAGGACTGAATTTATGCCTGTATTTTCTGAAGATGAGCAAAATGTCACATCATTTTCATTTTATGGCCTGGAGAACTAATTAGTTTTTCTGACGGAATCAGGGTAAGTTAAAGTTGTCATTAATGTCACTATTTAGTAATTTACATGTCAGCAATCTCCCTCCTCTCCTGCCTTTTAAGGTCTCTGCTTATTTACAAGGTTGCTTCAAGCACTTGGAAAATACGAAATGCTGAGCTATTATCCTTTTATTCATTTACATTTACTGAAGGTTACTTAACTTTATGAGTGAGGCATTTTGTGATTAATTAGTTCCCCTCTGAATGTTACGTTCCTTCTTGTTAATTTATTGAGAACCATCTGAGCTAAGATACTTCATTGTATATGAATCAGTAAATTTACTGGAGTATAGTTTATAAAAGTAATGAAAATCTTATTAAATATGAGACATTACTCCAGAATGGCTATTAAATCTCCAAGGAGAACATGAGTTCTCTTTATGGAAACACACACACACACACATACACACACACACACACACACAAAACCCGGAAGCCAGAGTATTTCTAATGGCTTACAAAATGTCAGAATAATGATCAAGAACCTACTGTTTCCCAATGTAAAGATAAAAATCCAATTTATATTAAAATGTAACCTGAACCAGCCACATTACTTAAGGCATTGTGGAACTTTTCCCACTCTGTGTAGACATCATGGTTTGAAAAATGGTCTGGTGCAAAAATAAAAACCAAGCTAAACCCACATTTAGATATCCAGACTTTTTCTTCTCTTCAAATGAAGGCAAAGAGACATGTATGCAGTTGATATGATCAATTTAGGTGGATCAAATATTGCTTAATACGAAAGATTTGTATGGGCACAAAAAGGTAGTTTTATGTAATTATGTATACTCTGGTTACAATGTTTCCATTTGCTAAGGAAAAAAGATAATTTCTAGGAATTTTTGATTCTTAGACATGAACCTGTTGACAGCTCTTTTCCCATTAAAAGCTTCTTTAGTTACGGGGATTTTACGGGCTTTTGTGAGCTGGCAGAGCAGGACAGGGTGACCCACCTGGCCATGAGATCAAGCTCACTGGTCCCTCTCAATGCTGTCTGATGTTGCTGGAGGGAGCTAGATATCAGATGGAACCTGCCCTCTTGCATAAAGCAAACTGACCTTCTTGGGGTATCCCCAGCTTGTCAGTATTCATGCTTCTCAGGCTTGAGACCCGCTCTCCTCCTTTTCCTTTAAAGCACAGCCCCTCCACTATCCCCTTCGCAGCTAACCCTGCACATCCTCCACCCAGCACAACTCCAAGTTCACTCCCCTCCTGAATTCACTTAGCTATTTCTTCATGCACTTCCACTGATTATGCTTTTGTCCTATAACTATTTCATATCAGATTTGGAGCTCCTGGAAAACAGGAAATGTACATGGATGAATTCTCCCAATGCAGCAACTAGTACCACCCTGCGGGGATGCATTAAACACCTGTCAACTTCCCTCTGCATCCTGCCCTCCTGGGGGAGCCTAGGACTGATGGAGTCATCTGTGTGAGGTCACTTGCTGAGCAACTATTGAAAGGATCCCACGGTTTCTCTAATGGAGTCACATTTAAGGGCTGGTGGAATCATCTGAAGGGATGAAGGGACAGGAGGAACCAAATGCCTGTGTGACAGCCCCAGTGCTTATTCTCTTCTTACAACATAAAGAATGAAAACCTCACATGACCTCAGCAAAAAGTAAATTACAAAATGATGGCAACTGACAGAAAACAATGAAATGCTTTTCTTGATAACTTCACACTGGCTGATCTGATCCACGTAACATTACATCATTCACAGGGCAATGTTCAGATTGTGTTTAAGAGTGTCCTAATTTTTTTTTTTTTTCTGGGAAAAAAATACCCAGTGGCCACAGTGTCATTAAAACCTTTAGAGTCAGTTTTAACAAAAACGTGTCAGTTGCCAACTTAATCTCAGCTACTTTTGATTCATTTCCCAAAGGCTTGTATACAGAAACTGCAGTAAGAAAAGAGATGGGCTTCTTTGCTTTTCATGCATTTAAAAAATCATGAGGGAATCAGAAAATCACCATCAGAATACCGCAGTAATAACTGTTGCAGACATGATCCACTCCTATATGATACAATAAATACTGTACTTATTTGTATAGTATGTGATACTATACAAATCCACTGCTATATGATACAAAAGTTTGAAGATAAACAGGATATTCTAACATAGCCCCAAAGTATTACCCCTACTACAGAGAAAAGAGTAAAAGAGTAACTTCATAGTGAAGAAACCTGGGATCAATCAGTACAGCATATTGACATCATATGCCCCCTAACGTGATGTTCTGAGAAGGATACATCACTTCTGGGATATTCTTGCCAAAAATGCCTAACTTCAAATTTGACTGATGGGAAAACATCGGTCAAATCCAAATTGAGAAACAGTGTACAAAAAGCTGACCTGTGCTCCTTAAAAGTGGTAAGGTCATGGGTGATAGTGAAAGACTGAATTGGCACAGATCAGAGGAGACTAAGGAGACATGACTATTAAATGCAATGTGGGTCCTGAATCAGATTCAGAAACAGAAAAAGCATCTCGCTGGAAAAACTGGTGAAGTCCAAATAAAGTCTGTAGTTTAGATAATACTATGGTACCAATGTTAATTTCTTGGTTTTGACCACTGTACTGTAGTTTTGTAGAAGCTGCCATAAGAATCAGCTACATGAACTCTGTATTATTTTTGCAAATTTTCTGTACCAGTAAAATTATTTCAAAGTAAAAAGTAAATTCTAGTAAGTCTACTTGTAGGTATATTCCTCAAAGTATTAAAAGCAAAGACTCAAAATACTTGTATACCAATGTTCATAGTAGCTTTACAATGGGCGAAAGGTGAAAAAACCCAAATGTCCATCAACAGATGAAGAAGCAAAATGATTTATATATATATTCAATGGACTATTCAGCCTTTAAAAAGTAATGTGTGTATATATATATTCATAAAAAGGAGTGACATAGGCCAGGCATGGTGACCCATGCCTATAATCCCAGCACTTTGGGAGGTTGAGGTCAGGAGTTGGAGACCAGCCTGAGCAACATAGTAAGACCTTTGTCTCTGCAAAAAAAAAATTTTTTTTAATTAGCTGGGTGTGGTGGGGTGTGTCTGTAATCCCAAGCTACTTGGGAAGGTCGCTTTAGTCCAGGAGTTCAAGACCAGCCTAGTTAATACAGTGAGATCCCATCTCTATCAAATATAAAAAGAGTAGCCAGGTGTCGTGGCACACACCTGTAGTCCCAGCTACTCAGGATGCTGAGGAAGAAGGATCGCTTGAGCCCAGGAGTTTGAGACTGCAGTGAGCCATGATCACACCACTGCACTCCTCCAGCCTGAGTGACAGAGCAAGATCCTGTCTCCAAAAAAATAAAAAGGAATGAGATTCTGAAACATACTACAACATGAACAAACCTTGAAAACATGCCAAGTTAGTGAGCCACACACAAAAGGACAGACACTATATGGTTCCACTTACATGAGGTACCTAGAATAGGCAAATTCACAGAGACACAAAGTAGAAGAGAGGTTTACCAGGGGTTGAGGAGTGGGGAGAATGGAGAGTTATTGTTTAATGGCTACAGAATTTCTGTTTAGAATGATGAATAAGTTCTGGAAATGAATAGCGGTGATGGTTGCACAATATTGCAGATATACTTAATGCCAGTGAATTGTACACTTAAAGATGGTTAAAAAACTTTAACCATAAATGGTAAGCTTTATGTTGTATATACTTTATCTCAAAATATTAAACAAACATGGAAAATTACAAATAATATCTACAATTTGGGCAGAAGTAGAACCTTAGAGATTTCCTAGACCTAAATTAAAATGTATAGGTGATTTTCGCATAAAAACAGACATACAGACCAATGGAACACAATAGAGAAGCCAGAAAAGAACTGATTCCCAACGAGGCTGACAAGAATACACAATGGAGAAGGACAACGTCATCAATAAATAATATTTGGAAAACTTGATTTCCATATGCGTAAGAATGAAATTAAATCTTTATCTCACACTATCTATAAAAATGAATTCAAAATTGCTTAGACTTCAATATAAGACCTGAAACAGCACAATTACTAGGAAAAAAACCAGTGCAAAAGCTTTTTGACACTAGTCTGGGCAATGATGTTTGGGTATGATACTAAAAACACAGGCAACAAAAGCAAAAACGGGCAACTGAGATTGTATCAAACTAAAGAGCTTCTGCACAGCAAAGGTAACAATCAATAGAGTGAAAAGGCAACCTATGGAATACCTGCAAACCACATATTTAATAAGCGGTTAATTCCCAGACTATGCAAGGAACTCCTACAACTCAACTGCAAGAAAACCCAACCAAGCAAATTAAAATATAGGCAAATAACCTGAAGACATTTCTCAAAAGAAGACATACACAAGGCAAACAAACACATGAAAAGGTGCTCAACATCATTCATCATCAGGGAGATGCAAATCGAAACCACAAGGAGATATCACCTCATGCTTGTTAAAATGGCTTTTATCAAAAAGACAAAAGATAACAAGTGTCTGACAAGAATGTGGTAAAAAGGGAACCTTGGTACCCTGCTGGTGAAAATGTAATGTGTTACAGCCATCAACGAAAAAGAAAATGGAGGTTCCTCAAAAAATAAGAAATATAACTTCACATAATCCAGCAATCCCACTGTTGGGTATATATCCAAAGCAATTAAAATCACTATGTTAAAGTGGTATCTGCACTCCCGTGTATACTGCAGCATGATTCATAATAGTCAAGATATGGCAACAAACTAAGTGGCCTTCAGTGGCTGAATGGATAAATTATGTGCACATGAAATATTTAGCCTGCAAAAGAAGGAAATCCCATCACTGGCAGCAACATGGATGAATGTGGAAAATGTTATGCTAAGTAAAATAAGCCAGGCACAGAAGGAAAATTCTGCATGATTCCATATGCAGACCAGCCTAGTTGAACTCACAGTTCAACTCACAGTAAAACGGTTGAACTCACAGAGGCAGAGAATACATTCGTGATTCCCAGAGACTGGTGCATGGGGATATGGGGAGATGTTGGTCAAAGTTTCAGTTATACAAGTTGAGTAAGTCCTGGAGAGCTACTGTGCAGCATTATGACCACAGTTAACAATACTGTATTGCATACTTGAAATTTGCCAAAAAAGGAGATCTTAAGTGTTTTTACCATGGAAAAAAAAATCTATTTACTATGTAAGGTGATAGATTAGCTTGATTGTAATGACTATTTCACAATGTGTGTATTTATCAAAACATCAAGGTGTACACCTTAAATATATTTTTTGTCAAAAAACTCGAGGGATCATTTACTAGTTTCTTTTCCACCCCAAACTCCGAAGTTTCAAAGAAGTCAGTCACCTGCTAAAGCAGAGATTCCTAAACAGATATTTTCACTGCTAGGCAGCATCTTTTTAAACTTTTCAAAAGAATAGGTTCACGGCAGACTGAATTTCCCCGGTCTCTGTGTCCTAGCACTTCCAACAGCACCCAGCACACAGATATGTACATTAAGTTCTGCTGAGTTATGAATGAACAAACTGACCTCTGAATACAAAACCACTCCCCAAATGAAGAATTCAAATTTATTATTCTAGCAGAAGGGGGAAAAAAAAACCACACCCACCCGCACGCACACATGTAACCCTTGTCAGAGGTTATCTGGGCCACAGATTAACCTTTTATAGATAAACTATGGATATTATTGATCTTCTCTCTCCTTTGGCCATTTCACCAATGACAGGAAGGGTTAGAGAAAAATAACTCTCAAAATAATCAGTTCTATCAATTGTCAAGGTTTCTGACTGATCAATAAAAAATAATCATTGAGAATGCATCTTATATACTACATGGGAGAGAAAATGACTCAGAAGGGTTTAAAAGCAGAATTGAAAAATGTATGTTTTATAAACTGTCCTTCTACATTGATATGCCATGGGAGGGATGCTAATCAATGTAATCCCCCCAAGGCCCTGAATGACGAGGATGCTGCTATGACTTCCGTTCATAAGCTGCCTGCAGAGCCACTTACTACTAACTACACAGAAATAATCAGAAAATCTATCTTATGATTTCTTGCACACACCTATTTCTGAGCAGATGCAGAAACACCCAGTTTGATCACTCACAGGTAAAAGACTTTTGTTTATCGCCCTAAATCAAATCCGACTACCCTCAATGGTGATTCATCACACACTGCAGATTTTCAACAGGATCTCTGAAGGCAATTCAAATGAGGTTTCTGCAAATGGTTCTAGCAATGGCAGGATTACTTCTTGGAATGGTGGGTGAAAAAAAATTACTTCAATTATCCATGATACGTATGGTATACTGAGGCTGATGGTTCTCTGCAAACTCCCACAGTCCACTTTTTATTCTCCAAAGCCCATCATGGGGAGCAGATTCTTCACAAATATATACTAACCGGTTGATCTCACTCCCTAAACTTCAAACATTCAGAAAATCAGAGTTCAGCTATAATCAGAAGGCTAGAATGTCTGAGTTTACAATAAGCTAGAGTGGCGGTAGAGTGTAAAGATCCCTTACTTGCTGAAGGCAGAAGTAGATTCAAATCCTGCCCCTAACTCGCAAGGTGACGTGATCGGGTCATTTGTCTCAGGTGTGCCTCCACACCCTCAGCCTCTCATCCAACCACGTTAAATGAAGTTAATGCCCACATTAGCACTCAATAAATAGCTATTATTCATATTATTCAAAGTGGAATAATTTTGATAGATGCTTACCTCTCTCAGAGTTGGCTTGCCAATGAAAAAGTCTGTGTTTTTGCTGCTTTTGGGTGGGTTGAACTTGGGATTCAGAAAAGCACATCCATTTGCGATAGCCTCCAGGGGAGCCGGGCCCTCGTAAGGGAACCCAAGTCCAACAAACAACTGTAAGACAGAAAACCATACAGCATATGAACACATCAGGCAGGGCCATCAGGCAGGACAGGCATTCCCGGCTTGCAGGCGGCGATTCTGTGCCCATTCCCGAGTGGACACCTCACTTTGGAAGGCTCCCAGGCCCTGGGGGTGAGGCAGAGAGAACTCAGCTTACACCAGGATCTGAAAAACTACGAACTTTTAAAGGCCCCACAAAGCTGCTCAACTCACTATGCTCTCCTCCACTAAAGGAAGTAAAAAATTTAAGTGTCTAGGGGTATCAGGGGGGTAGGGAGGTTGGAGTATTAAAAGAAAAACCGCCACGACCCAACAATAATCTTTCTGTAACTCACCAGGAGACATGACTGGAAAAACACTTGCTTAACTACACAGAAGGTTTCTTCATTGAACCAAAGAAACAACAGGCCCTTTCAGGAATGCTGGGCGGAGGGACAGAAAGGTCACTTGGAGGTTTGATTGCAGTTCAAATGGAACTGCTTTAAAATGATGGTAGGTCAGTAAACACAGGTTTTCATAATGGGGTTTACACTGGGGACATCAACATCTTGGTGTTGATTTTACCCTCACAGGGGAGAGACTGTGCTGTGTTGACGAATTTGCAAAGCAGCTGCTTCCCTCTCCAGCAGGCAAACCATGTGCTTCCCCCAAGACAGACCATAGATGGCAGCAACAACTTGCTCTCAGAGTTCTCAGAGCAACCACAGCAGCTGGAAGCCACGATGACAAAGGGGACAAGCTGCAGTTCAGTGGTGCTGATTTCCTGAGTACAAAAATGAAATAACTGCTCCCAGAAATGCCTTGGCACATGCTGTCACAGTGGGTGCATTTTGCACTGCTGGATAACTGCAGGTTGTTGATGGGCAGGATCCAGGCCTGGGCTTGATGAAGCTGTGTCCTCCTTACCCACATCAAAGAGCTTGTTCTGTTCCAGCCCCCAGGGGCACATTAAGTGAGAAAAGATAACTGGGCCCCAGGGCATCCTTTCCTTCTGCCATCACACAGAGCATCACCCACCACAAGGCCAGGCGTTGAGAATAAAGGAGATGGCTCAAATAGATTTAGCTACAAGCTTGATTCTCTTTTTCCCTAGGTCTTTTCACAGCAATCCCCTCCTTACCAGCTTTGCAGCTGCTCTAATTGATCGTTTAGAAAGGTTCAGCTGGAGGGTGCGGCCAACCCTGAGCACAGCCCGTGAGTGACATACTGGAGAACCAGGTAGCTCCAGAAGGAATTCTGGGGCAAAGCACTAACATCTCAGGTTTTCTGGACCTATTTACTTTTGTTTTGCACACAATAGGGTACTCAATCTTTTTGGTTTTTTGAAAGAATAAACTTTCATTTCCTGCAAACTGCGTGATCACAATGCCAGAGACGTCCACAGGGCAGGGAGCTGGGAAGAAAAGAAGCTTTGAGAGGTCAGCAGAGCCCCTAATACTGGCTGGGTCATTTCCCCCTTGGGCAGCAGAACCACAGGAGATCACGGGTGGGGGTGGTGGTGAGGAAAACATGGTAGTCAGGAGCCTGGAAGCTGTAGGATAAAAGGGAAAGTTCTACTACAATTAGGAAGCTCCTGCTCTGCATCTTACTCTTATTATACAGCTAACAGAAAGCAGATTGTCAGAAAGAACTTCTAACTATAGGGTGTGGCCTGGGCATGTGGCTCACGGGTGGGGGAGATCTGACTGCTGCAGATGAAATGGAGGGAAACAGTGGGATGTACTAGTCCCATGATATCCCAGCTTTATGGAATATGAAGAATCCAGGGTTGTTATCCATCAGACTTGTGATCTCTGTGATTTGCCCTCTCCTATCAGACTCTGGAGAGGATGTGCTGGCTCTCCAGTGGAAAACAAATGACCTCTGTCAGGCCATGGTTAGACATAAGATAGCACAGGGAGTCCAGATCTTTCTGACTGAGGAGAAAAGTGCTAGAAGATGCAGATCAGGATCTCTGCAGGTTTAGTCAGATAATCCACAGTGCTTCCTGACCTCTGAAAATCAGGGCCTGCCATAAAGTGTGGATACCTTCACCAACTCTAAATTTCAAAGAACAACTCTGGAGGAAATGTAAGCAGCACAATGTTTGTCTATTTAAACAGAAAATCTTGGGAAAAATTTAATTAGCTTCTTTAGACCAACCAATCTGAACCCATTAATTAAAAGGATGAGGCTGTTGCTTAATGGACTTGAATGTGACCTAGGTTTAATTATATCTGAATAACAATATGAACCATCTCTTCTGCCCTGTGGGCACCAGAATATCTCAGTACACATAAAATGAAAACTTTAGGTTAACTCTCCCAAGCCTCATATGTTTAGAATGAAGCCTAAGCAAATACAACATAATTTCCTGGCAATGAGTGTTTTTGTCACCCAAGTAGGACTGTAGGAAATACATTATTTGGAAACACCAAAATAACAGTTTTTTTGTCACTTCAGTCAGTAAGCAATTTTTTTCTTGCTTCCTGTGTGCTTATTACCTGTGACATTACAATGGAGCAGATGTATTAAGGTCAAATAGCACATCTGAGGTTTGAATGAAAACACAACAGGTGGAGAGAGTTCATCACCACCAAACAGCACTCTGTAAACTTCCTTGCACTTATGGTTTTGCAACACACTGGCACCTTAATCACACTGAACTGCTTTTCCCCTAATTCCCTGCTATTCTGCCTGCTTACCAATTTCCTTAGCAAGGAAGCAAGAGACACACTGCCAGAATGTTCTCAAGTGCCAAGGCTTAACTCTGCCGGAGAAAACTGGCCATATTTTATTTATACTTCACCTGGCCTTCAGAAGCCCAGAATCTAATGAGGATATTCCAGATGATGACAAAATATCTCCATGGCTGCAACTCCAGCTCCATCAGTGAGTATTTCTACATAGAACGATTGTGGGATCTAGGATTAAATTTTTGAACTAATGCTAAGCAGAGAGAACAGATGAAGCACCATACGTTTTCTTCACAGTATAGGATTGGGACGTTCCTACATATCCATAAAGGGTCTAGTAAAACCACTCAGATTTTTCCCACTCTGTGAAAGAAGACACAATTGTTTTAAACTGCTAAGTGGAGTACTTAAAGAATCCTTTAAACATGGATAAAGGGGGTTCTTATCCATGGGCTTGGTCAGTTTCACTCTTGATGCGGAACGTTGAGGATAATCCTAAATAGGAAACACACACACAACACATACTTTTCTGGCCAGTTTTAATTAGTGAAGTTGGCATGGTGACTCTAGAGGGAAACTGAGCAATGAATCACTCCCGGTTCACCAAATGAATTGATGAATCCATTATTGGCACAAAGTGCCCAGAACAATGTGGTAATTTACAGCACAGGTTCTGGAGTCAGACTGTAGGCTTCACAGGCCTGGCTCCATCGTTGCCTAGGTTAGTAACTGTGACAAATTGCTAGATGCTTCTGTCTATGGATTCTTTAAGGCCCATTTATAAATCTATTCTATTTATAGGGCCTTAGTCCAGGTAACAAGCTTGCTAAACCTCAGTCTTTTCATGTATAAAATAATACTGCTTTATTTCATGGGGTTGCTGTGAGGATTACATGAGATAGTACATGGAAAGGATTCATTCCAAGTCTTGGCGCTTAGTAAGTGTTGGATAATCAGTCACTCAAATTCAAATCCATATGTAACTTCACACAGCTGCATATTACGGCCCTGTATCATTTAGACAGAGTTTAGGTGTGCAGGAGTTATGTTTGTGGGTTTACAAGATGCTCAGCACCTGCATGTATGAGTTCTTATTGTTTCATAAAGTATCTGTACTAAAAAAGGGGGAGGGACATTCATCAGAAGAGAGAGATAAGAGATGATATGGTTTACAGTGAATGCCACATAAGCCAGTCCCACATGTCACATGCTATTGCTAAGCTTTGCTTATTTTTATACAATGACTGGGAATCATTACATTAATGTTTTTGGTAATAGGCATCCCTTTTATATCTTAAAAATAACCGAGACAAGGGCTGGGTATGAAGAAAACAATTTTCCCAAAATGTGATGCTTTTATGTAGCCCAAAGGGACCCTTCTCTGGCCATCTGCCTTCTTTCAGGTACCTGATGCTTAAGGAAGGGATAAACAGTGGCCAAACTCTCTCCCGTCCAGGCTGGCTCTATCCTCCCAAGGGCTCCACAAGCCCCTGACTCACATGACCTGAAGACTCTCTAGGGAAGAGCTGGAAGGGTCACAGAGGCTAAGAAAAGAAGACCCACGAAGCATGTTTACATGCCCAAAGCAGACTTTTGTCAAAGTCTGCTGCTAAACCAAAGACTATTTCCTGAAGACCAGCCGGCTGATTATGTCCAGCTACCTAAATACCCTTTCAGAAACAAAAACCCAAACCACAAACAACAGCATCAGGATAAAAAGTTCCTGAGTTTCGGTCATCTGAAAGCCCCAATATAAAATCAAACACATTACAATTCACATTGTAAATTTATTAACTTGGAGATGGGGGAGTAAAAGAGTATTTGCATAAATTTAAACCTATAGATGCTGAACATGTTCAGCTAGGCCAGCCTCAAGTGCTCACCATTAAAAGTCCACTCAGGCATCACCTCCTGGGAGGGCCCTTTCCTGACCATGCCTCTCTCACCCAAATTCCACACCAGGACAACCCCTCAGCTGCCAACACGGAGGCAGCAAAACAGGCTTATTCACGACTGGAGCCTCAGTGACTGCTTCATTAAAATGGTACTGTTTATAACAGTACCAAGATTACTGGATTTCTGTGATGAAAAGAGAGAATACACAGAAAGGGCTTAGCATAGGGCCTAGCACATGGTAGAGGGGAGAGATAATGGCTGTTACTGTTACGGTAAATCCCATACGCAGGTGCACCGCAATAGCATGGAAGTGTTAAACTGTAACTGACAGTGGCTCCTGTCCTCTGAATGGGACTGCCCCATCCACTACATTGATTTCACAAGTCACAGAACCACATTTTACACAACTGAACTGTTGGCCCCACTCAGCGTGACAGTAAAGTTTTATGTTGGTATCATTATTTCATATTACGACTAGTTCTACCTGTGTACGATCCACATTGTTACAGTTACCTGCTTTCCTCTTCCAGCACACCTGTATGCTCCTTGTTGGCAAAACTGCTTGAGTCATCACTGTCTCTAGAATGGCTAGACGAAGGCCTAGAATATATCTAGTACTTAATATTATACTTACTTGCTGGATGAAAGAGCAAAATAATAAATACTATGAGACTGGATCTTTCCAGCAATCAAGTGTCTCTGTGCACAGAGGTTGAACATGTATTTATTTGAGTGTGGGGATGCACTTTTGCTCTGAAAGTCAGACAGGGTTACTGACTCATACCTCTGTACACTCCTCAGTCTACATACATGTATGGATAAGGGGGAAGGAAGGAGGCATGGATGTGTTCATTCAATTTTTTTCCCCATCTAGATGGCATGGGAATGATTTGAAGTATGCTCACTAGGATGAAACCTGCCTCAATTGGCTGCCTGAGGGCAAATGGGAACCAGTATCTGTAACAGAAATAGAAGGACTGCTCCCCCTAAGGAAGTAAGCTCTTGGGCTATCACTCACAGGGCCTGCAGATATAAGCAACATCACAGACAGGCAGGCATGGGGTATCAGAAGGGTAGTGTCCCTAGCTCGGGAGATCTAAGAGATCTAGGCGCAGCGTATATGATAACAGGAAGAAATCTCAGAGATCCCAGATGGTCAATGTGTTTCATTTTGGCTCCTTCTTTCCTTCTTTATACAATCATCTAAATGCCTTTTATAAACCAGGCACTGTGAATGCACCTGTGGATAGAACAAGCAAAGGCCCTTGGCCCTCATGCAGCTGCATGAGAGTCTGCTGCCTCAAGCCCTGGGTTTTTCAGACAGCCTTTTTTAAAGACAGGGTCTCCCTCTGTCACTCAGGCTGGAGTGCAGGTATCCTCAGCTCACCACAACCTCAGCCTCCTGGACTCAAGTGATCTTCCCATTTCAGCTTCCTGAAAATCTAGAACTACAGGTGAATGCTACCAGGTACAGCTAATTTTTTGGGCATTTTTTGTAGAAATGGGGTTTTGCATGTTGCCCAGGCTGGTCTGGAACTCCTCGGCTCAATCAATTTGCCCGCCTCGGCCTCTCCCAAAGTACTAAGATTATAGGTGTGAGCTACTGCACCGCACTCGCCTCAGACAGGTTTTGTGACACATCCAAGCTCAGTAAGAAGAGACATAGTTAGTGGGGGGCAGGGTGGCACAGTCATTCATGAGGATAAGATGAGTCAGAGGGAGCACTGCATATTTGCCAGGCCTGCCCAGGCTCCTAGGTGAGTCCCACAGGTAAACTAATAAGCTGACATGATGGGGAAACAGGACCGTCATGACCCAGCCAAGTCTTGGAGAGGTGAATGAGTGGAGGTCTGGGTACAGAAGGGGTACAGCGACAGCACGTGTGGAAGCTGCAGCTTTGCCTGTTTTTTTCCCCACAGCCAGAATTTGTTTTCAACTGTAGAAAGGACGGTACTGGTCCAGCTCACAAACCATTCAGTGAGTTGCAGATGCAAATGCTGTATTCAGTATCATATATGAAATAGGGAAGACTAGGGGAGGTGGACATGAAGAGGTTAAAACCAGGAAGATGAAGAAAGAAGCCACTTTAAAAGAGATGGAGATTTAAACCAAAAATAAAAACATGCCACCCTAGTGAGTCCTAATTTGCTGGCTTAAACTGTACTCCTGGGGTTTGCTGGACTGAATGACTCGGCTGTGGTCCTGTGATAAGTAATTCATTCATCCAAATCTATACCCCAATTAGAAGAGTCTGCTAGATTCCAACAACTTCCTGGCTCTTTTAGCCCCAGAAATAGTGTTATATTCAATTCCTTCCATCTTCACAGGTCCCCTGAAGCAAGAGGCTACTGATGACACTTGCACCCCTAATGGCACGCCTGGACAAAATTCTGCTGAGCAGAGGGTTTCCTAAGTTTGGTGCAGAGATTCACAGATGGCTTGTAAAGAAAAACTATGAGTCAGAAGCTGATCAATCATCAATCATCTCTGCCTCTAACCCTCTTGAGGAGATCAGCCTTGCTTCTCGCATCAGTAAGAAGTCCAAGAAGTGTGTGAATCCCATTCATGCTGCAGACATTTGCTTCTTGGCAGCTCCAGTTCCCCATTTCCAACGTGGATTGGAATAAATCACTTTTAAATTGCTCAGAGACACAGAGAAAGGAGTCAGAGACAGAAAGGGTTATAGATGCAAAGCCTGACTGGTCTTTCATGTCATTATTTCAAAGCCGAAGGTTCACACATTTTGGAGCCTGTGGCCATGTGCCGGGTGTGAGGGGAGCCTCAGCGATATGCTGCCCCATCCTTGTCATATTTGCCAAATGTCTGAGCCATGATTCCACTCAGAGTATTTTAATATACTCTACTCAAGGAGCAGGCAATAGGTAATGGGATCAGTGACATCCTCTACACTGGGTCCCAGTTTTTCAAGGATGAACATACACCCCTCGTGCTCTTTAACTGAGGCTGCAATCCTTGCTCATTAAGCAAACTTGGACATCTTGGCCTGGGCCTTCCCTGCCTCTTTTCTTGTCCTCCCCTGGACATCAGTGATCTCCATTTTGGCCTATTTCCTACTCTCTGACAGGGTAATGGATGGTAGGTAAGTAAGGGTTCTTTTAAAATTCGCAAAGCTGAGAGAGACATTCATGAGGTTGGGTTAATAAAAGTGTGCGAGACAGTAATGACATGCTGCTGAGAACCAGCTCTGCCAAATGTTTTTTAAAGGAGCTTGAGCTCTTTCCACAATCCGATGTGAAAAAAAGTAAAATGAGGCAAATGGCAAAAATAGCACTGCCATTAAAGGGCCCAGGCATTCTGATGATTCTAAAATGTCAGCCTAAGACAGAAGGTGATGGAAAGCAAAGAGTGAAAACTAGAGAACACACTTCACTCCTGGATAATCAAAAACAGTCATCAGACTACAGATGACCTTGGAAGGAAATAAAATCTTAAAAGAAACCAGCTCTTTGCCCAATAAGCTAAAGAATCTGTCAAATTATTTTATTCGTGGCATCATACAAATGCCTTGGACATAGAAAGGATCAAATACATTTACAGGTGGAGAAACTGAGGCAAAGAGCAGATATACATTCTTTTGGCTAGTGGGTGTCCACTAAGCATTCTTAAGTTTGAGTGTTTATGAGGACAGTACATCAAGGGGCTAGCAGAACCTTAATTTGCAATTAAAAAAATCATGAGTTAGGGCCACCTCCAAGACGACCCTGGCTTACTGTGGGCAAGCCAAAGTCTCTAGCCTATTTCCTCATGTTCAAAACAAAGTTAACAATAATACCTGCTCTATCTACCTCTTAAGGCTGTTGTAAGAATCAAAGAGGCTAGCATATATGAATACACTTTTTATAAATGCAGTATCACATGATGATTGGGCAATCGAGATTATGCCATAGAAGTCCACCTGCTCAACCTCTCTCCCCTACCTTGAACATGAAAACAAAGCGAGCCAGAGACGAGAGCTGAGAAATCCACTACTGACAATAAGCTTCCTTGTGCTTAGGACATACCACGAGAGAGATCCACGTGCCTTCTTCACACTTGCAACCCTTGTACAACGCCTAGCACATTGCAGCTACTCAATAAATATTTGTGAAATTCATGAACAAAAACTTATTAATAAACCTGAGGGAATTTATCTAATACACTGAAGTGCCAGTCAACCCTTCAAGGCCAAACTTTGGTTTCTTCACAAGTTCCTGAACTTCATTTGGTACTTCCATGGCAGAATTACAGAAAGAACACAGACCACTGGGTGGACTTCCCTACAGTGTCAAAGCAACGGGTCATCACGCTACTGCTGAGCAAAACGATCCTCAGGGGCTTGCCTGGCTACCTCCACCACATGGTCTGAACTCTGCCTCCATCTGTGCCAATCAGACCCTCACATCCCCTCATCCAATTTTACCTCCACTATTTTTCAACACTTAGACTAGCTGGGTTGGCTTCTAGCTCCTTCCTGAATATGCCATCTGTACCTCCACCACCTGACTCTAATTCCTGTCTGGCCCACATGCCAGGTGTGTCTACACTCCATCCATCTTTCGTCTCTTGCATCTCTCCTGATGCTTGCTCTTCTTCCTGAGCCCACAGGGACTTTGCCCTCATCTGAACTTCTTCACTGTCCAATGCGTACTTGGTGAACAAGGAGGTATGAGGAAAAGCTGGTTGGGAAACCCACTCCTTGAATGGTGATGACTGGGTTGGGGGAGAGTTCAGCACCCCTGCCTTACTATGAAAGCTGCTGCTGTATTAGAAGGTCTGTCCTTCCAGGCAGGGCCTTACCTTTTCCATTTGCAGCCTTATCCCTAGCCCCCTGCTTGACACCTAACACTGAGTAAATACGATTTTTGAATAAATCAATGGACAAACGTAGCAATCTCATTCCACAATTCACTAACTTTTCAGCTGCCACTGGTCTAGCAAACTGCTGCCCCAAAATAGCCAAAAGAGTTTATTGCAGCATTGAAAAAACAAGCATGAAATATTCTGATCACATTTTCACAGCCAATGGCATTAACCTGAACACCACATTCCTGGTGAATTTTTACCTTGGTTTCTCGAAGAAGAAACTGCAGGTCTCGTCCACTGAGGATACCATGGTTTTTCACGTAACTGGGAATATTCTTTGTGCTGGAGCCATAAACAGTTGCATGCACTTCCATGTATGTGTGAATAATGTCCAAGTAGATCTTCTTATTCTGAAGAGGAGAACAAGCAGAAGACATTTCTCTTTGTCTTTCATTTGCATAACAACCTGTGTCATGGACCAGAACTTCTAAGACTAGAGGTCACAGAGTTCTTAACATGCAGATCACAGGAATTTGGCAATCAAACTGCTAAAATTTCTTTTAAAAGTAATCTGAATTGACAAATGGGATCTAATTAAACTAAAGAGCTTCTGCACAGCAAAAGAAGCTACCATCAGAGTGAACAGGCAACCTACAGAATGGGAGAAAAGTTTCGCAATCTACGTCATCTGACAAGGGCTAATATCCAGATAACTCTAAAGAACTCAATCAAAGTTCAAGAAAAAAAGCAAACAACCCCATTCAAAAAGTGGGCAAAGGATAATGAACAGACATTTTCAAAAGAAGACATTCATACAGCCAAAGCACACATGAAAATATGCTCATTCATCCACTGGCCATCAGGAGAAACGCAAATCAAAACCACAATGAGGACGCATCTCACCACCATTTAAAATGGCAATCATAAAAAATCAGGAAAACCCAGGTGCTGGAGAGTATGTGGAGAAATAGGAACACGGTTTTACACTGTGTGGGGGGATTGTAAACTAGTTTCACCATTGCTGCGAAAACAGTGTCGATTCCTCAAGGAATCTATGAATTAGAAATACATTTGACCCAGCCATCCCATTACGGGAGATATATCCCAAGGATTATAAGTCATGCTGCTATAAGGGACCACCATGCAACACGATATGTATTATTGCGGGCACTCTTCACAAATAGCAAAGGACTTGGAACCAACCCAAATGCCATCAGTGACAGGAACTGGATTAAGAAAATGTGGCACATATACACCATTGGAATGCTATGCAGCCATAAGAAAAGGATAAGTTCATGTCCTTTGGTAGGGGGGACATGGATGCAGCTGCAAAACATCATTTCGTCAGCAACTATCTCAAGAACAGAAAACCAAATAACCCGCATGGTTCTCACTCATAGGTGGGGAACTAACAATGAGTCACTGGCACAGGAAGAGGAACATCACACACTGGGTACTATTGTGGGGAGGGGATAGCTTTTAGGAGATATGCCTAATGTAAATGAGAGTTAAGGGTGCAGCACAGCCAACATGGCACATGATGCTGGGCGGGGGGGGTGGGTGTATACATATGTTAACAAAACCTGCACGTGGCACATGTACCCTAGAACTTAAAGTATTAAAAAAAAAGTAATCTGGTTGGACTTTGAGGACATAAACAGTCATATGGCCATTATATAATTATGTAAGAAGAAATACATTATATGTCAACATATTACTGAATACCAACTGTATAATTTTGCAAGAAGAAATACATTATATAGCGAACTGTTTTGAAGTATCATCCTTGCTTTGTAAATTACCAGGGACCTAACAGTTGCTTTTGGCTCTTCCTACCTCTATGAGAGGAAGTTTGGGGAAGGACAGCCTGGGGAAGGCAGTCAGTTGGACTGGAATATTTACCCAGAGATGCTAAGCTGTCCCAGAGGAATACAAACATCCCCAGCTCTTGCCAATGTTTCTAGTGATGATTAACTCATGTTGTCAGAACTGGATCCCACCTAAATCGGGATCATGGGAAGATGAGAGTTTCTCACAGCTGGAGAGATAATGAGAATACTCAGGTAGATAAAAGTAGAAAAAGAGAATAAATGTCAATTTTGATGAGCTCCGAAACATTCAAGAGTAGTTTTACTTACAGTATTAGAAGCAAAACCAAACCCCTTTTCTTGTATTTGTAGGCACTGAATTTTGAGGCACATTTTCTAAAGCAAAACTACCTGTGAAGTGGAAGCAAGTTCACTTTTTCTATCTCTGGGTTTCCCTGTAACTAAACTGTACAAGCTGGGGTTTGTGGGTTTTTCTTTTCCTTTTTTTGGGAAATTTTCAAAAAGTCAAGTTCTGTAATGTTTTCCAGTTGTATAAAAGTAGGACAAGGTTTCCTCATTCTAAGCCTGTTTTCAGACACTCCAGGCAAATCTAATAGCTGGTTTTGTGACTTAAGACCACAAGGGACACGGGGTGTGGTATCAGCAGCCAGAGTGCAGGGAAGCCCGGAGGCAGTCTGTAAATGAAGCAATTCATGATCTGGTCTCTGCCATTCACTGCCCTGGTGATATTACCAAAGACCCTCAACTTCAGGGGAAACATTTCAAGTGATGTATCAAAAGTCTTCACGACTGGGAAAACTGCACAGTCCACGTTCTTCATTTCATACACCAGGATGACTTTGTTTGCAATGAGCAAGACCACCCTTGCCACCCTAATGTATGAATAAAATGAACAGTGGGACTGAAAGTTTAATTCCATACCATGTCTGGTATGGCCACAAGATGCTGAACTCATTACCTTAGAAATGTATACTTTTAAATTAGTACAGACGCTTACACCTACCTGGCATATGTTAGTTTGAAGGGTTCAAGGATATAGTTCGTTGTGCTAGATGTATCTGGTAACTCCTGCCCCCACCCACAGCTCCTGTTAAGTAGGCAGGGGGCTCTGTTACCCTGCCCCCACTGCTGGCTGCTAACCGGCCCAGGGTGTGTCTGACCTGAGGGGACCCAATCCTAGGCTGGCCAGCAGCCCAGGAATGATGTAGCAGGCTCAGGAAGGCAAGGGGAGCCAACCAGATGCTCTCTTGGGAACTCAGAATCCTTTATACTGGGAGATTACTGCCAGATGGCCACTGGCTTTAGAGCAAAAAGGTCATTTGAGCGTTGAAGTCTGGGCAATTACAAGCCAGATAACAAGTTCTGAGGAAACTGGTTGCCAGTTTTGGCGGGTTGGGTGGGAAAAGAACCAAGTAAGGGCTAAAGGAGAGGGGAAGACACAGGCAGTCGGTAATAAGAGGACCCAAGAACGTGACTACAACCAAAACATCACCACTGCAAGCATGACACAGAGAGAGAGAGAAAGAAAGGAGTAGAATGAGAGTAAGTACTTCCAGAGAGAGTAGGAAAAGAAAGCAGAGAGACAGAGGAGAAAAACTAGGGCCTAGAGCTGCTCTGGCTCCGATCCCATCCACAGTGGTTCCCTATCCTAAATTCCCAGGTCCCTCTGGATCCTTATAATAAACGCAGCTCTTCCCAGACCCCACCCCATATTTTTACTTGAGTTTCTCTGGGTGGATTTCACTCATCTACAAGGAGACCTCTCGGGACAGCTTGCTGGCCTTAAAGCAGGAATTGGGGGCTGCAGGTGGGGACAGGCATCTCTCCTTTACACAAAAGGAGGCATTTTGCCTAAAAAGTCAGTTGCCAACTACTGAAGATGGGCCAAAGACCACTAGGCTATGTCTGTGGTGACCTACCGGGCAGACCAGTAAATAGTCCATTTGGTTCCTGTCCTAGAGAAAAATATCCACTGTAGACACACTCAAGATTAGGGTTCCTAGACTAAATGCCTGGGAAAGTAACACGGTACTAGATCACATATGTATTGCCATTAAATCCCAGAAAAGGCTGGGGCTTCTTGAAGTATAACAAGGGGGCAAGTTCAGGCAAATATAAAGAGGTATATGTAAAGACTAATAAAGTATATGAACTTACTTTTAGGCATGGTAAAATCCAAAACTAGAGATTACCTTCAGAAAGGATTTACTAATTTCACAAATGTGAAAATCTCAACAGCTGATTAGAGGGGAAAAAATGTTTCAAATATAACTTTAGCCTTTGACATTGATGTAACAATTAGGTACTTCTACCTCAGGTCTCTTGTTACCACTTGTAAGAGTTCTGAGTAGAATCCTGGTGAAGATGAACCACGCTATCTATTGCAGGTAAAGGTGCCCCAGAAGGCTTTCATACCAAACTCACAGCCAAGTACCTACACCAGATTTGCACCTGTGGTTCTGGCCCCTTCAGGCTCCATGGATACACATGTTGAATTAGTCACACAGTTCTGTATATTCTGCCTCCATAATATCAAATTGGTCTCCTCTTCTCCAGGGTTGAAGGTTCAGTTATTGCCATCAAGGGGCTCAAAGGATCCCGTTCTGTCTTCACAGACACTCTTATCTTTTGTGTTTAAGATACAGGATATTCAGGATTTTAAAAATTAAAGGTGTCCTTGTCTGCCTTTCCGCTATGCATGGGAAGGCTCAAAGTGGGGAGGGGGTTAGAGGTAAGAGACATTTTCCAGCATACACTCCCCCTTCCCTTCCTTACTTTGGTCATCCAGGCCCAGGGTGAAGGTGACCATAGGTGACCACCACAGACCTGGATGTCCCACTGATCTAAGAACTGGATCAAGATCACTTCTTAGAAAGCTTTCTTTCTCCAATTTAAGAGACTAAGGTCAAAGAAAATTATCTGCTCCAAAAACTTTATCACCAACAGATCTCTGGAGATGCAGTCAAAAAGGGCTTACACTGAGTATCACATCACAGCATGCAACCACCTCTGTCGCCCAAAGGTTCCAGCTAAGCAACCAGCAGCCCCCCTAATGCTTTTATTCTCTAGTTCAATTTAAATTCCCATTAAGAACAACTGATCTAACTGATTAAAATTTAAATCTACCTAAGCTCATTTCGGGGGAGGAGATACAAACGGAAAGGAGAACGCATGCCGGAGTCAATGAGCAGTGTTGTCAGTGTCTCTTCAGCTGTTTATGGTCGTAGCTGGAGGCAGGTACATGTTCAGAACCAGTCATAAGATATTTAGAGCTTGGAGAGAAAGCTTTAGAAAAACAATTCAATCTACGCAACACTCCTGTAAGTCCACAGCAGGGGGAGTGGTAGAATGCAGAACCAGAGAATCAGAAGCTTTCCCCAACTTATTTTAAAACATTTTTAAATTGATACATAATTGTACATGTTTATGGGGTATATGTGATATTTCAATACATGCATACTACATGTGATGATCAAATTTGGGTATTTAAGGTATCCATCACCTCAAACATCTATCATTTCTTTGTGTTGGGAACATTTCAAGTCCTTTCTTCTAGCTAATCTGAAATACACAATATACTG